GAACGCATTGAATGATTGACAAGATTTCGTCCCTTTGCATCAATTTTACAATCAGCAATAATATTTTTGAGCATATTGTCATGAGAATGTTTTCCAAGTGTAGAATCACAGAACCAATTACTATGATATATTTTTCGTGAAGTATTAATCCTTAAAAAAAACTTACAATCTTTTGGTCTTTTAGATTGATATAATAAAATATCTGCTACTGGAGAATAATTATTTGGTTGATCCGCGGGAATATAATTATGTCTACCAGCATTGTATAGATTTTTGGCACCTCCTGCATTATTTTTTCACGAGGTATATTTACTTCAATACTGCGATCTTCATTAATAACGATCCAGGAATTTTTTAATCTTTTTGGATCACCACCACGCAGATTACAAAGAAGTGTTAGCCAAAACCAGACACTATATGTAAGACCTTTTAGTGTATCAGTTTGCATATTTGGTGAATTAAGAATATTTTCAATTTCCCACATTTCAAGTGCATCAGTTTTCTTACGAGATGTATCTTGATTATCTTGAATTTGTTTAATTCGACCATCAAAAATTTCATGAAGCCGTTTTCATTTATGCCTATCTTGAATATTAATAAGTCTAATTTGATAAAAAATATCGGATAACCCTCTAGCAATTGCAGCAAAGCCTACATGCAATAAAGAAGGTGCATATTCTTTTTTTTCCAGATTTTCTAACGCCACAAAAGAATTGACAAAGCTGATTTTGCAATGCAGTATCATCTAATGATTCAAGTGATTCAGTCAAATTGGCTGCATTTCTATAAGCATTAAAAAGATTCATCCAAGTTTTTGTACTATCATCTGTATTAGTAACGCGAGAGTAAGCTTAAATATTTTGTAAATCTTTATCAGTAGGAATAACAAATCGTTCATGTGTTGTTGATAATTTGTTCTTTTTAGTAGAATTATTTGATTTAGTTAATAATGTTTCCTTGAAAATATCAATAAAACTATTAATTATTTTATTTTTTTTATTTATATTTTTTAAAAAAAATGCAAAGATAATACCATCTTTATCTTATAAATCTTCAGATATTTGTTTAAAATGTAAGTAAAAAAAAAAATGATGAAAATAATTTTTTGATGAAAAGAAAAGAAAGAAATAATTATTATGCATGTGATCAAAAGTATAAAAAAACTATAAATAATGAAAGATCACGTGATAATAACAATGGTAATAATTATCACAAATCACACGCTCCTGGGTATAACTTAGTAATTTCATGGGATCAGAATACCGTAGTTTTTTCCCTATGGGAAAAAAACTGCTATATTCCTAACTCTTCATGAAATTACTTATATTTAATTTTTGATTTAATCAAATGAAATTTTGACAATGATTTTAAACGAGAAATTTTATTATATTCTAAAGACTTCCAATATTTGAGAATAAGATAAATTAACTCATTCTGTTTGAATGTTTCAAATGTTTTACAATGTTTCATGTCCAAATTAAAATGGGTAAAATTTTTCAGGGGTTTAAAATTTTTACAAAACCATGCCGTACAATGTTCTAAATTATCCTTCATGAGGTCTTTTTTTTCTTTGATATTTGTTCCTTACTCAGGTTAATTCAATTTGTTTTAATTCTGCCTTAGTCAACATTGGACTTTAATTTTTTTATCGCTATTACTATAAGGCTGATTTTCATATTACAAAGTACTTCATTCCTGTATGTAAAGAAATCAGTTTTTATTTCTTTATATAAATTGAATAAATATAATTTTTGTAAATTACATCGAAAAAAGGATTTTCTTTTCATTTGGTACTCTAGATATGAGTTTTAATACAATATTCTTTAATGAGTCGCTCAAGTTAATAATTTAATATTATTTTGATAACGAATAAGGAAAATTTGGTAAGTTAGTGATTTGAGTATTTTTTGCAGTCGAGAGTTGTTAATTTTTGATATCTTTGTAAATCTCCTGAGTGTTTAATATTACAAAAGATATTTCACTCAAGAACTTGTCTTTATTATTTTAAGTTAAACTTTATAGATCTATGTTAACCAATTTTACCTCTGACCATAATTTCTTCAGCTAATATGTTTTATGGCCAAAATATCTCCTGGTAAATCCACATGCTAAAAATTCTTCTAAGCATTAATATTGGCCTTGGTTACCTTTAACTGTTCTTTTAATCTTATAAATATTAGTGCAGTTTTTTTACTTTGATTTTTCTTAATTCTTCTTTCAAGTCTTTAGAGGTTATTTATAAGTCATTTTTAAAACCATTTTAAGATTAACTTCTTTATTTTGAAAATAGGAAAATAATAAAATTTTAACGCACCAAATGTGATCATTTGATCAAGTGAAGATTAGATTAATAAACTCCTTTATTTTTTTTGGAAGATTTACGATTATTTTAAGAAAAGCCAAAGTGGCTTACATAGCAGAATAGGACATAAAGGAAAAGAATTAAAGTTAGGTAATGTTGCAAACATTATGTAATCTAAATAATCTAAAATAGAATAGAGAGTAAATTTTTCGTGACATTAGAAATTTCAGTTGTTTTGTTTGATAATCGCATCACACTTTTTTTTTCACTACGTTAGAATTTCATGTTACGTTCACTAATTAAAAAATGCTCAGGAGATATAGGTTAAATAAGATTAGTGCAAAGAGAAATAAATAAAAAGAATTAAATTATAATTGGATAAATGAACCAATTACTTAATACTTTAGAATTATTATTATTTCATGCAAAATAAATCAATAAGTATCTTGCCTAAGAAAGTGGTTTTAAATTCACTTGTTTAGTTGATATCACAATTGAATTCATATGAAGATACTTATGCTAAAGAGAAATGTGATATTAGAATTAGGAATTTATTAAAGCTTATACAATAAAATAAAGTAGCCACACATAAAAATCTAAATGACGTTTATGTTCTGTACTGATTAATTGTTACTAATCATAGTCTTATTACAATGATAGGGATCCTTTGATCATACGTTTAGGATTCTCACAGTGTTATTTATTTTTTGATGAACTTCATCAGAATTTATTTCTATCAGTTCATTAAATAATTGAATAAAAAACATTTAATGATATTATCCTATATTTTTTATTCCATTTTTCATATTTACTTAACTTTTCTCAATAAATTTTTTTTAAAGAAAAATATTAGTATAGTCTGTTTATTTCATTCAATTATTTATACGCGATATTGTGAAAATGGTTCCACTACACATTAGGATGTTAATTTACTTTAATCATAAAGTGAATTCTTAATAAATTTGTATGAAAACCATCTTTTATTATTATTCATAAATTAAAGATAAAAAGGATAAATGATCTAAAGAAAAGTTTGATAAAAATGTTCGAAGGCTAATTTGTCTGCAGTGAATTTTTTCTTTCATTAGATAATATATTTCAAACATTTCTGACTTTGCATTCATATGATTACATTATTATTAAAATTAATTTCTGATTGGGTAAATCACAGTAAAAATTTAACGCTATATTATTCCTATTTTTTTTTTCTTCATATAACTGTTATACAAAATTAAAAATCAAAATGCAAACATCAATTTGATTGAAGATACTATTTCAATAAATCTTTAAATTTTATGAACACAATCATATTAGCAAAGTTCAAATAATTATACCGGAAAAGCCAATCATACAAATTGAAAAAATTCAAATAATTCAAAAGCAATATTTCGCATTATATTCATTTCATGACATATTAGGTCAAGGTCTAAAATTTCAAATTAATGAACTCCATAATGAGTTTTATTAAAATATAAGTATATTTATTGGTTAGGAATATGCTGATGGGTGGTGCATCTAAAAATCATCCAGTTGACAAATTCAGAAATTAATTCCCATAGGGACATTTATTAAAATTTATGTTTTAATTTTTATTTCATTATTATTTTTTTTTCAGAATGTAAATTCTTTGATTTTTCTATCAGACTTAAAACGAAACAATAAAATATGTCTCTAGACGTTATCAAAACTTCAAAACTTTTAATGTTAAAGTATATTTCAAAGTTATTTGAAGTTGTTAAAAATATTATTTATTTATACATTATTTTAATTACTCATAATTTGGATGCTTTGCAGTAGAAAATTAATAATACCTGATTGTACACGTTAAGAAAGTTTTGATTGTTGCCATTATTAATAAATTTAATTAAGATAAAAACCTTTCTCATTAAAGTTGTTACATTTCATTACCTGTTCTCAGAAACATCAAGTTTATATACTGAATAAAATTAAAAATTTGCTCATTTATTCCTTTCATCTTTCAAGGATTTCTGACAACTATAAGATCATATCAAACCCAGAATCTTAACATCATAATCCTGATACACTCCAGTTTAGGATAAGATTAGCGATGATCAAGATATATGTTGATTTAGTTTAAAAAAGTAGTATTAGTATATTCGAAAGTTAGGTTGGTTTATTTAAAAATTTGTTATATGGGTTAATACATACAAAAATCATGTTACGAAATTTTTTTATCAAAATTTGAATTTTTATCCATGTAAATCTTTATTATCTTATCTATTTATGGGTTAAAATTCTAAGAAATATATAACATTTTTCTATCTTTTTTGTATATATTTTTGTTTTATTATATATATTTAAATATAATATTTAATATATTTTTTTTTTTATTATTATTAATTTTCATATATAAAGATTCAAATAATAAATAGATCTTTTGCTAAGTTGATTTACATTTACTCTATATAATTAATATATAAACATCGAATTTAGTATACCTTTAATAAATAAATGCATATTACTTTTGAAAAATCAGATAAAAATAGCTGTACTTTAAAATATGTAACATAAATGATTATGAATTTATTATTATTTTAAAAAAAAGTACATAAACATTTCTCTGTTATAGAAAGTTCTAACTATTACTTATATTAGTTGAACATATATCAAATGGATCTTGATGAAACTTAAGTTCATTTACTTATTTAATGATCTATGGAAGCAATTACATAGCTATTAGTATTATTTCTGATTATTAAATAATAAATATGACTAATATCACAAGATTATCTGCAAAATGAGTCTTAGTTTACATATTTCAACATTAAATTTCTTAATATAACGCTTATTATTAATACCACCAAATTGTAATATGTATTGTTTTTAATAGTATTATATACATCATCATCATTGACAAGTGTTTGATCATAAATCACCCTTGAGTAACAGTAAAACTAGCTAATATTGACTTGTTTGCAGCAAAAAAATTATTGTGTAATGTATTTTTAAAATGAGATTGAAGATGTTTACTTGCGGCTGCTAAATATGATGAAATATCTGAATATTTTTGATTATCTCTGGTAAATGATTGATGAACATTTTTCAATAAACTTGAAAGAAAGTATAGATTCACCATGTTAGCTGTAAAAATCCTATATTATCCACTGGCATGGTATCTCTCTTTTCTAATGGATAAACCCTATTCAAAGCTACAAGAATTTGTGAAATATTCAGATTTTGTGATTTTCTATAGTATTTTGCATGTCCTCTATTGTGTCATTATCAAAGCAAGCAAATTCTTCATACAAGCCTGCCAATACTTTGACTCCTTTGTATTCTTCAAAAAATTTCTTGCTTTATCATTGACCTTAGATTTTATTTCTGAATTTCTTCAACTTGTCTCTGCATTTCTGGCTAGCGTACCTTCAGATGTTATTGCTATAGCATTATCTGCAGTACTAATTTTAACACTAAGTTCAAACGCTTTGACGATAGATGATTCTGAGATCTCAGCTACAGCTGCAAATGCAGATAAACTTCCTAAGCATAAGGAGCAGCTAAAAGTACAATAGCAGCTATAGAAAGTAAGATCACTAAGAGCAAGTATTTATTACACGATAATAGCAGTAGTAAGATCAATTCTTTTAGATTATTAGGATCATTTTATCACTCAACTCATTAAGTGTATATAAAAAACTAGTACAGTACGATTCGTCAGACCAGTACAGTACAATTATGCAAATTAGTAATTTGACATTATACTGTACTGTACTAGTCCTATAATAACTAAGTCCTATTATATGACCAGTACAGTACAGTATGTAATGAAATTTTTGTAAAATTTATTTTATTATTACTTATTTTATAAATACAACGAATTTTGATATTTTTATTATATAAAAAAACTATTATATCACATTTTACTAATTAAATAGCATATCTGCAGAAATCTTTTTTTTATTTTTATTTATTTTTTTGAAAAAAATGAAAAAGAAAAAAAAAATCTAAAATAAAAAAAGAAAAAGAAAAAAGAAACAAAAAAAATAAATAAAATGAAAACGAAAGTATAGAATTGCAAAAAAAAATGAACAAATCAAATAAATAAAATGAAAATGAAAGTATAGAAATGAAATAAAAAATAAAAATTAATAAGAAAATAAAAAACTAAAAAAAAAATAAATAAACGAAAAAGTAAATGAATAATTATAAAAAAAAAATAATGAAATGAATAAAAAAAAGTAAAAACAAAAAAAATATAAAAAAATAAATGAAATACAAAATAAAATAAAAA